AAGGTGTGCACTTTTATTGAACTAGTCTCAAGTCAGTTTAAGGGTACACTATTTTGTGTGTGTGGTTTTGGCCGGGGCTGGGTCTGAACCCACCACCTCTGGCATATGGGACTGGCGCCCTACTCCTTTGAGCCACAGGCACCACCTGGGTACACTATTTTTTAACATTCAGTAGTTCAGATGTGTTATAACTCTGTTTTTTTTTTCCCCTTTTTAAGGGTCCTATTTTTTTCCATAGAAATGGTTCAGACCTGTTTTGTTTTGTTTTGTTTTTTGGTGTTTTTGTTTTGTTTTGTTTTTGAGACAGAATCTCACTTTGTTACCCTTCATAGAGTGCTATGGCGTTACAGCTCACAGCAACCTCAAACTCTTGGGCTTAAGTGATTGTCTTGCCACAGCCTCCCAAGTAGGTGGGACTATAGGCACCTGCCACAAGCCTGGTTGTTTTTAGAGACAAGGTCTGGCTCTGGCTCAGGCTGGTCTTGAACCTGTGAGCTCAGGTTCCTGCCTGAGCTCTTGCTCTCATCCACCTGCTTTGGCCTCCCAGATTGCTGGGATTACAAGCATGAGACACCACACCTGCCTTTGTTTTTTTGTTTTTTGGTTGTTTTTTTTGAGACAGAGCCCCAGGTTGTCACCCTGGGCAGAGTGCCATGGCATCCAGATCTCACAGCAAACTCCAACTCCTGGGCTCAAGCAATTCTCCTGCCTCCACCTCTCAAGTAGCTGGGATTACAGGCACCCACCACAGTGCCCAGCTAATTTTTGGTTGCAGCCATCATTGTTGTTTGGCCACCCGGGCTGGGTTCGAACCTGCCAGCTCAGGTGTATGTGTCTGGCACCATAGCTGATTGAGCCACAGGCGCCGAGCCTTTTGTTTTGTTTTTTTTGAGACATAGTCTCATTTTGTTGCCCTCAGTAAAGTGCGATGGTGTCACAGCTCACAGCGACCTCAAACTCTTGTGCTCAAACGATCCTCTTGCCTCAGACTCCCTAGTAGCTGGGACCACAAGCATCCATTACAACACCCCTCAATTTTAAGAGACAAGGGTCTCACTCTTG